GCCGGCGGAGCCGGGGTGGAGGGGGGAGCCGAAGGGACGGTGGCCGGAGCGCCGGGATGGCGTTCCCTGTGCTGTTGTGCAGAGCGGCACGAGATCACAGTCCGGCGCCCTGCTCGTGGCCAGCACCGGGAATGGGTGGCCTGGCCAGGGCTGGGGGGTGCTGGCCAGGCACCCTGGCCGGGGATGGGGGCTGCTGGCTGGGTGCCTCTGCCCCTGCCGCTGCAGGGTGCTCCGGGGGGCAGGAGGGGCTTCGAGCTGCTGCAAACAGGGCAGCCACCCAGGACCAGCCCTCCTTGAACCCCACACCAGCCCAATGCTGGACCCCAACGCCATTTCCAAGCCCGGGAAAGAGGAACCCTGGGGGTGGGTCTGGCTGTGGGAAGGGGGATCCCATCTCGGACTGGGCTCTCCAGCCTGGAAATGAAGCTGGTTGTGCCCCATCCCAGAGATGTCACGCTGTCCCCGCAGCTGGCTTGTCCCTCCTGGAGACCCCAGGCTTTGGCTCGGGGTGCACGGTGAGGCCATAAGGGTGTGCGATGGGGGCTGGGGTGATACAGGCAGGGAGGGAGGTTGGGAAACCATCCAGCCCCATGCACAGGGCTGGGCAGCCTGCTCGGGCAGAGACCTTGCTCCCCAAAACAGCCTCGGGACCCCAGCTCAGCACCACTTAGCACCCAGGTGGGACCCCCAAGACGGTGCCCAGCCCCGGGGGCCACTGACCCTGTCGAGCTCCTCCTGGTTGCCGAAGAGCGGGTGGTAGCGGCGGTACTTGCCCTCCCGGTATTTGGCGATGAGGAAGCGCCTCCTCTCCTGGCTGCCACTGGTGGGGGCGATGGCCTCGCTGGGGGGCACATTGGCAGCCCAGAATTGGTTGGCCACGGCGTTGCCGATCTGGTGGAAAAGCTGCCGGGACAAGGAGAGACCGAGGTGACGGTGCCACCGGGGGATGGAGTGCGGCCGGGAATGGGGGGGGCTTTGCGGGGAGTCTCCGGGGGTCTTTGCCGGGGCAAGGGGGGATGAGCACGGTGGTAGCTGTGCTTCCGGGGACGTTCACAGCCTGTGCTTACGGGGACGTTCACAGCCCAAAGCCGCCGCATTACTGCTGCCCGGGGGAGCAGCGAGAGCAGCAGGGTGCAGGCAGCACTGGGAGGGATGATGGGTGGTGCACGAGGAGCGGGGACCACGGGTGGGCAGAGTGCGGGGCTGCTCCCTGCCCAGCCCCACATCCTGGTTTCAGCACCGGCGGCGCGGCCCCGGCGTCTGGCAGCCCCCGCAGCCGCTGACCCCCCCTTCCTGCCCTGGAAAATCACATCTGGAAAGCAGCGCCCAGCTGCGGGCGAGCGGGGAGGGGAATGCTCAGCATCTATCAGGGTGGATTTGAAGGGCTTTCCGTGACCCCTCGCCATCCCAAGCGATGCTCAGCCTGGCACTAAGCAACAGGGGTTTAGCCCTGTCTCAGGGAGCCCCACATCACCCCAGCAAGCCCGTGGGGTGCTCTGC